AAGGAGCGCGATGTAAAGACGGAACCGTTCCGTTCCGTCCCGGCACAGTCTACAATTCAGGCGGCGCGTAGCGGTCGGCGCCGGCTGCCGAGTCGCCGCGTCGCCGCGGCGACAGGATGTTTAACTTTACATCGCTATTACTAGAAAAGTTGTGAACCGATTTTGTTTTTGCTTGCACGATGAGATGTGCAATTCAATTCTGGACAGGTAGCCATAATTAATTCCACATTAATATTATTAAATATTGGCGAAAAACAGGAGGGGTGGGGCGAAATTCGCTCTTCCTCCTCCACTACGCGTGCTAACATACGTTTGCATATGTGCCATTTTCTTCAAAACTTATGACTGGCCCACTCTAACTTTTTCACAGGCTGTTAAGAATATGGTAGGCAATAAAATATATGAAAATGAGCCAAATCGAAGGTGGCGTGTTTTTTGCTACTTCAATTTTTGTGCAAGAACAGAGTTAAGCAAATTTCAAGGTCATATATTTAAGTAGGTGCAATTCTCAACAAATGCTTAAGAAATTACCTAAACAGTAAGGTTTATTTCATCCAAATCAAACAAGTACAACCAAAGTTAGGGTCGTTCAAAAATATAAAGATGCAACATTTTGTAAAAATTTGATGCCCTATATTTAGAAGACCTGTGGTCAGAATGTGCAAAAAAAACATCAATGTAATGTCCTGGGCGACACAGGAACTCGCTCAATAATGAAATCGCTGATGGTAAGGTGCAAAACAGCGGATTTTTGTTCGATTTGACGTGGAATGCCCCAGCAGCGGCCCCGCTGGGCGACAGCGGCGGCCGGCGCTAACAACCACGAACACTGCAAGATCAAATACATCGTAACAATATTCTAGAAACAGTTTTGGGACGCAGAATGCTTCTCCAAGAAGACCTGGAAGGAATATCAGCGTTCTAGCTTGACTCAAACCGCAAGTATGAGCACATTTTTGGAGAAGTACCTAAATGGCATCCGTAAGGTCGTAGGTAGGCCCATCTTCAAGCGAGACACTGAATCGGTGAACAGGTCAAGGAAAGCTCAAAAGCGGTGCCAGTAGAGTGTGACAGGCATCTGTCGCAAGATCACATGTCAGGCAACTCATGGGATCCAAAATTTCATGAAAATACGTTGGGGATACTGAAATCGTGGCTCGTCGAAACGAAACGCCGTTCCAGCCTCCAGGAGCTGACGGCGAATGTTTAACTTCAAGCGTGCCACGCTGCGAAACATGCGGCATGGCGCAGCATGTATTCATGTGTTTGCCCATGAAATGAGGAGCACATTGACGTGTCATAAATATATCAAAACGCAGTGTGCTCTGTTTTACATGCAAATTTAAAGTAAGAACCAACTTATGGGACACCCTGTATATTTGGATAACATTAGCCTATCAACATGTTTAACCCGCGCCCGGCTGGGGGTCCTGGATTTCCACGCCCTGCTGGGGGGGGGGGGGTGTTTGAACACCCCCCCCCCCTTGTAACTCGGCTCCTGGGCCACGTAGCGATACGCGGAAGGCGGCGTTCGAAAGAGCGTCAAAAATAATGACGAAATCACTTCGGTCAATTTTTTGGTCAGGTCAAAGGTCAGGTCACCAGAGGTCATTGAAGGCAAAATTTCGCCGATTTCCAGGTCGAATGTCGAAAATTTCCAAGAAGCCAACGCATAACTCGAGAACCAATAGAGCTACAGCGCCGCGGAAAAGCGCATTCGATAGCCCTATTAAAGCCCTTTCTGAATCATTCTCTCAGATTTGACCCAACGTCAACGGTTTTGCCTGCAGGGGGCAAAAATTGCAAAAATAGCCGATTTTTTCGGCAACAGTTTTTCTGCAATAACTTTTGACCCAAGCCTTGTACGAGCTTACTTTTACCGGCATTGTGTTCCTCTCATCAATACGCATCGAATGAACTATAAGTTGACCTTGAAAGGTCAACTTGAAAATTTGACCTCAGGTCAAGGTCATGACCTGACCGGAAAGGGTCATGTTGCATATCAGTCGATCCGTATCGTCGAGCTGAACACATCTAAGGCGTTTTCATCGCTCTAGCATGCCTCTATCAAAAGTTATTTGCGAAAAACTGTTAGATACCATTCGTGACCTAAGATGACCTCAGGGCATAAACAAGGGTCACGGACACCATTTTCATGTTCAGTGTGTCTAAACCACTTGTAATTCGGTGTTTGGGAGTGTTTATAATGTCTTTTGTCCAAAAGAGGCGCATTTCAATTTTCTCCCATTGACTTATAATGGGGAGGTCGCAAAATTGACCTGACCTTAGGTCATCGATATCAAAATTCTGAGATATACATTTTGTACATGCTATTGCTCTTAGCAATCGCTGAAAGTTTCAAAGCGATCGGTCACTCGGTGTAGCTATGACAGACATTGAAACTTTTTATGAGGTGAGGTCACTTCAAGTGACCTGGTGACCTGACCTTGAATGACCTTGGTCTGAAATTTTAACAACATGTGTGGAATTGATGTACGATGCGCCGCCGTTTTTGAGATATTCGCGAAAAACCACAAGGGGGGTGTTCAAACACCCCCCCAGCAGGGCGCGGGTTAATTTTGGAGCACCTGTATAATCTAACTCGAAGTATTTGTGCATGGACTTAAGTGGTCCGGTCCGGCGAACATTTTCGCTCAGTTTAGGAATTCAGCAGTACGGTCCTAGCCTGTATCATAAGATGCACGCTGTAGCAAAATCCTACGCCAGCGGCAGGAGTAAAACTGCTGTATGACGGAGGCACCGATGTCTGACAACTGGGCAGAAACAGTCTGGAGGCCGACCAGAGGTCATGCTCGTATCGCTCACCCTTGACCCCGTCCATCGCCTCTGGCGGATACTCAACAGGGCGCTATTGGCTCATCATGGTCTGCTCGGTGAGCGCCAATCAGTCAGTTCAGTGAGCGTGCCGCGTATGAAATCACAAGAAGCATGATACCGCTACTGTGTTCCATTTTTCGGAATTTTGGGTGGAAAATCACACCTAATGGGCACAATATTTTCATCTCCAAAACTAGGAAAAATGGAATTATTTCATCTTTGAAAAATGTTCAACGCATTCAAACGGTTAACAGCCAGATTAAAATTTAAATACCAATGAATTGACAGTTGATAAACCCACATCCTTTTCTTTCAGATCCTGTCAAGATGAAGATCCTAACAAGAAATCCTGATTCCTGATTAATCAATCCTACACTGAGCACATGAGCCGGCTGTTCTTTAAAAGGGATTGAATATGATGGAAAAGTGTGACATTGTATTGTGAAGTGCAAGAGGATACTTGATACCTGCCATGCAATGTTTCAATATCAATATGTAATATGTAATGATGCATGCCATTATGAATGATAAAATACATCATTGACAAATGAGTGAATATTGTCCAGAGTTCATGTGATTATTTCAGGGGCTGGGCCCAGTTTAATCTTAGATTATGCCAATTGACACTAGTTTTTGAAGCATTACAAATTCCAGTTAAAAACGGCCATGAACACAACAAACACATGCATGCTTGTCTGCACATGGCCTAGCACATAAAGCTTAAAGGGAGCGCCATAAAGACAGTTACAGGTTTGTTGCATAATTTCCATGAATAAAAATATGTTAAATGAGGGCACAAACCCAACAACTCACCGGCACCCTGACTGAGAACGAAAGAAAATTACGCTGCGCGACACTTCCCACAAATCTGAGTTGGAAGTTGGATGACCTTGATCACACCAGCCTAGATGTGTTCTGAATAAATGCTTGTGGATATTCATAACAATTATGATTAGTGGTTTGCTGCCAACGCAAAACGTATGAGCCGCTGCTTGCGCAAATTAAACACTACCTCTGCAATTCGCTTTTGACTAAGTTGCGCAGGATACGCCTACAAAATTTTCATCTTTGGACCCGCAGTCAGCTGGGCACACCCTGGCACACCCTAGGGATGAATTTAAAACTTGGTGGGCTCTAACTTCTTTCATATACAAAATAGGGGTATGAGACAGATACCAACTTATTCTACATTCATTTCTGATTCTACTGCACCAATTTCACCACAAATTATGTCCGTCAATGGCTTCTAGAGGACTTAGAAGCTCGGGGCGTCGGGCCTGGCAGAGGTCCAAGATGAAAAAAGCCACCCTGCGCACACCCTAGGGACGAATCTGAAACTCCGCGGGGTTTGGCTGGTTTCATACGCAAAATAATGTTTTGAGACCAATACCAATTTATTCTGCGTTCTTTTCCGATCATATTATATCAATTTCATCACAAATTATTAACGTTATTAGTTTAAAGAGGCATTTAAAACTCGAGGCGTCGGGTCAGGCAGAGGTCCAAGATGATTAATACGCCACCCTGGCACACCCTAGAGATGAATCTAAAACTCTGCGGACTTTGGCTGGTTTCATACGCGAAATGAGGTTATAAGACCAGGAACGATTTATTTTGCATTTATGTCTGATGCTTTTGCAGCAATCTTACCGTCAAATATTCATTTCAATTAGTTTCTAGAGGTCTTAAAAACACGAAGCCTTCGGCCGGGGGAAAGCCAAGATGAGTGAAAGGTGAGTGAAAGCACACCTTGGCACATCTCTAGGGATAAACTTAAGATACGGGAGTCCCGGATCTGCCCAATACATGCTATGAAGCTGGTAGATGGGATTAGAAAGGTCCTAGCTTTTTAATACATTTTAATGCTATCCAAAGCAAGGCCCTATATACCAGGTAGGTTCATTAGGGAATTTTTTTACGTTCCCCCTACCGGCCCCGGATGACGTCACTGGGATGCTCTCGCCGCGGCCGGCCTATGTATAGAGCATTACTACGGGCTTTCCGGTGGCATTTTTTCGTGTAATAACGCCCAAAAAGCTTTCGCGAGCACTTTTCGCACGAGAAATTGAAAATATGTCGCATTTCAAAGTGAGGAATAGTGATATCAGGTCACGTCCAGGAAGAGCCCGCCGAAACCAGCGAGGCTTGTATGGGTCCCAGGGCGCAGGGTTATGGAGTCGGGACCAGACTTTTGAATCGGATTGTCGGAGTCGAACTCGAGCCGTAATCGGAGTCGGAGTCGATTTTGGAAGTCGGAGCAGGAGTCAGAGTCGAAGTCACCGAAAATTCATCGGTTCCGCAGACTGCGGAGCTGCAGGGCTGCGAAGTCTGAGCCGGAATCGGTCAGAATAGACAGTGCTGCCCGGACCGGAGTAGGAGTCGGAATTAGTTTTTGGAACTAGGAGTCGGGAGTCACCGAAATTACATCGACTCCGCTGCCCTGCTAGTGCGCTCAGGACGGATGCACTTAAATTGAATTGCTGAAAAAATCGAATAAACATTGTCACTAAATATTGTAAGTTTCACTTACGGGTGGCCGTTACTCACAGCTGGTGGTACAATATCGAGACGCACAGCCATTACCCAACGCCGAGTCGCACAGTGAGTCGCACAGCCGTTACACACAGCCGGAGGCACCATGCCGAGTCACACAGCACCAACAGATCTGGCCGTACCACACCGAGTCGCACAGCCGTTACACACAGCCGGAGGCACCATGCCGAGTCGTACAGCACCCACACAGAGCCGGCCGTACCACACCGAGTCGCAAAGCCGTTACACACAGCCGGAGGCACCATGCCGAGTCGCACAGCACCCAGTACCCACACAGAGCCGGCCGCACCACACCGAGTCACACAGCACCACGCTGAGTCGTAGTCGCTACACGAGCCGGTTTACCAGCTCACCTAGCGCTCCTTGCATGATGGCCAACTTTTCTATCGGCTCTTTTCAGCTGCCGGACCTCGTCCAGTCAGGCTAAGGGACCGAAGGGGGAGGTGGAGACGGGTGCTCGCCAACTTCCTGGACACGCGGGTGCCGAGCTGAGGCTGCTTGACGGCGATGAACAGCTTGAGACGCTGTATGACTCGCGGCCCCTGATCTGCAGTTGCCCCCATCAGCAGGCAGAAGTTCCGCTCGAACTCCTCCACAGCGGCCATCCAGGCTTGTGACAGAACAAACAGCTGACCTCGGCTGATCGTCACAATTCAGCTGTTCGTCAGGGTGTTCAGTGTCTCCGGCGGCGCCCGAGAAGTCAGGAGACCGACTACCGAGGGTGGCGTCGATGTGGTGACACTTGTATGCCACGAAGCCGGCAACAAATGCCAGCCCCTCGCGCTGAGCTTCCAGGTTGGAACTCGTCAGCTCGGCGCCGGCCATGGCTGCCAGCGTCGACACCGGCAGCGGCACTGTGAAAGCAGTATTACGCTACATCACTTGAAAGACATTGGCAATTTAATATTGTGCAAAAAAACGATAACACTTAAATGAGCCTAGTCTACGCATTGAAAGTGACAGATTTCGCGGACAACGAAAAATTCATGCCCTTTGGCTTTGCATTAATCCATTTTCCCGTTACTATTGAAGCCTCGTTTGGCGACTGCCCCTCGAGTTCGCTCGTGATTAGCATGGCACTTTTTCAGAAGAAAAAAAACTGCGTATAAAAATGTTCAAACACCAACCAAGACTGAAACACAACTCAGCTTTTTTCTAAGCACTAGTTAGGACCAGCATAGGTCATTATCAGAACATTTAGTGGATGTGACTTGAAACATCACCTTATTGGATTGAGTGGCCTTATCCCGACAAAAAAGTTACCATTACTCATGGCAAAAAGAATGTTTTGATGCATTTTAACAATGGGAATAAAAATGATGGTGTCGCTCAAGACGGGTCAGGATTTTTAACACTTATGGATATTTTTGAACACTTTTAATGTGAGTGAAAACATAAACCATTAGACTTACTTGTCAGAGGTGCCTGCTGGCTGGTCTAGAGGTTGCTCGCAGGTTGCTCCCAGAATCTCCTTGACCTCCTTTGCAGTGGTCCTCCTCAGGGACCTACTCGCCCTCGCCTCAGCTTTCCTGTAAACAGAAAACTCTCAGCACAAACAAATTTGGCTAACATTATGCTGACAGTACAAGCAACTAATAAATAAATGTTGAACAAGATTAAGCACCTACCCATGAAATAACTTCAGTGACCAATTTGAAAATAAACAATAATACCATGCAAAAACATGTTTTCATTTTTACAGCTCTGATAACATTGCAACGAGATTGAGATGAACCCAGCCCGCAGTATATGACCATACTATACATAATTTAAATTTTAATGCTAAAAAGTAAAGAGCTCATTTATATTTCAATTTGCCACTGTAGCACTAGTTTGTTTACATTGCGTGTTTGCTCTAACCATTTTATTTGTTGAGTGTATCATGTTAGGTCAAGGTACTTATGCGCACTGCGAGCACTGAAAAATTATTACCAGCTTCATTGCAAAAATGGAAACTTAAAAAAAAACGCCAGATTATGTTTAGATCCATCGCAAAATGAATACCTTGGTTGAGGTTCCTCAGCATGATCCCAGCTTGAAATACTTGGTTGTTCTTCATGATATATGAGACGAAACGTAATACAAAGTGTGGTTGCCACTTATGTTAAGCTTTTGCGCCCTTCAAACACATGAAAACGTGTTTACATTATTAAACAAACATATTAAAACTTTGCATAACAACCAACCAAAGTAATAACACGCAACGGTCGGAAAACACTGCGCCGGTGCGCCAGCATTGACTACATTACTCGAATCTCAACGACCAATCAGCTTCCGAGCATCCCAGTGACGTCACATTGGCAGCATTTGGTAGCAATTTCCTCGTACGTGTGTCCCTATGGCGATGAACCCCCCCCCCCCCTGATCCAAAGATATCGCATACGATTTTTGCATCGTGACGTAGGCAACGATGCATCGTGACGTAGGCAATTTAGTGTCGCCTTTTGAAGGGGTCGGACGCATTTGACAGTCTTCTAGTGTTTTTTTTTTTTTTACCTTGAGTATGCCTTTAAGCCTAACATGACTTACATGGAACTATTCCTAATTTAACGGAGATCATGAAGGAGGTCAATACTTAGCTGAGTATTACAAAGCTACTTTTTTATTAACTACCAAAGTTTCGATTATTTTGGTTGTTTTTCGTAAATTTGTTTTCGACTTGATTGCCGAAAACCGTTGATTTTATTGTGCGTCACGCGCTTTGAAGACGACAACTGCTTCCAGTGAATCCGTCAGCAAACATGATTGACCCACAAACATACCGTGTTCGGATTGGAATGTTTTATGTCCGGTCAACCAAAAAATCGGTCCTTTGGTCAAGACTCAGTGGCTCTTGGACTTGCCTTAATCCTCACTCTCTTAGTGATTGGAGGCGTGGAACGGAACCCCGGTCCTGACTTTGTGGATGAAGGTGTCCCAGGACCATCATTCTCGGGAGTGGCACTGATGGACGTGATGGGATGGAGGCCATTCGCCTAACCCACCTTCAGCTAGCCCATCTATCTAGCAAGGTGGACGATTTGACCAGAATGATGTCTGAAGGAAGTCATTACACTACGATCGCGCCAAGCCCAACGGTAAAACACACTACAGTGGATCGCATAGTGGGCTCTGCAGCTCGTACTTCACCTGATACGACGCTGAATGACCGAACGACTTCCGATCACATCAAGGCGCTTGAAGCTCACGATAAGCTTGACTCTAGCGGGATACCGGGGTCGCATATGACCCGCGGCTCCAGCTGGACGCCAGGTACTGTAGTGCCGCCCGCGGTCACGGCTCCAGTGACCTCTGCCTCTGTATCGTCCTGCTACACCAGCTCTGAAGCTAGGAGAGGCGTCACTTCCTCCAGGAGACGCAGCAGCCGTAGCAGCAGTCCGGTTCCGCACACCGGGGCAGTCTTGCTAGGCTGTCAAAACGTTCGTCGCGTCGCGGCAGCAGCCAGGGACGAATTCCTTTTGGGCAGTGAAGCTGTGTTCGAGAGCATCCGTGGAGGAACTGTGCGCTGTGCTCTGGGAGCGATGAGCAGCGCGGTGGCCAGCTGCAGGGCCGTCAGTGTCGACCTAGTCCTGCACAGCCCCCGTTCACGAGCCTCAGAATTCCTTTACCGTGACGTCACGTGGGCGGCAAAAATCCCTTCACCCCATAACGATCCATACAAATGAGGCCGAGTTTTGAGCTGGGCTGACGCCTAAGTTGAGGGCTAAAATATTATAAAAAGCATACCATTTGACTCAGTAAGGCTTGATTTTTCCAAAACCGGGCCTCAATAGGTCGCATTCGAATGAAACAAGCATTAATTTTGCCTTTTAGATGAGGCCTGCAAATTTCGATGAAGTTTTTTCTCGTGAAGGAAAAAAATAGTGCTACCAAATGCGTCTTGCGCCGCTTTTGCAAAAGTTAGATACTAACGCCATTTTCTATCAATAATATGCAAATTTATTATGATTTTGGCCAAATCGAATGGCAAACATTCACTTAACAATAGCAAGACTTCTATGAGGTGCATTGTTTTGGCGAGTGATCTATAGTATGCTTCAAAAATACCACTGGAACTTGGTATGCCTCATACTGCACTACCAAAGGAACTGAAGACTCGTATCTGAGCCACTTTGAATACAAGATAATGGCCTGAAGTGGGAAAAAGGCTGTGTCATGCCTTTCAAGCAGGGCTGCGGAGTCGGAGTCGGAGTCGGAGTCGGAGTCGGTCGGAGTCGACAGTTGTGACCGGAGTCGGAGTCGGAGTCGGAGTCGATTTTAGAAACCCGAGCCGGAGTCGGAGTCGGAGTCACCGAAAATCTGTCGACTCCGCAGCCCTGCTAGGTCTTCGGAGTCGGAGTCGGGAGTTGGAGTCGGTCGGAGTCGACAATTCTGCCCGGAGTCGGAGTCGGAGTCGGAGCTGGTTTTTGAAAGCCGGAGTCGGAGTCGGAGTCGGAGTCGCCGAAAATCCATCGACTCCGCAGCCCTGCTTTCAAGAGAAGAAAACATGCCAGTATTGTTGTTTTTAGCACAAATATTTATTTCTAGTGAATATTAATGTGTAAAATTATAAAATGTTGAACTTCACTTGATACGAGAACAATCAACAGATCACCAAAGCAAGGGACCTGGTTGACTGGTCTTGTTGGGTCCATTTTTTACATTTCTCTCATCCAATAAGTACCTAGTTAATTGAGTAGGGTATTGTCTACTATTATAATTTGTGGTTATTACCTTAACATAGAACATTGTGAGCAACTGTCAGTGCTGCCGCAAGGCGCAAATGAGCAAGCACAAGTGCTACAGTGACATGAATCATGATGAATGTATTTCCAAGGTGGCATATACCTACAGTAAATGTTACAAGGGTGGAGTACCTATGTTCTTTTATGAAATGGAAATCATTTAGAGATACAAAACATCACATGATTCAGAAGAATATTGGTGAGCTGATGATATTTAATTTTCGTATTTTAATAGCACCCTTAAAAATCATTTTCATTTTGTTGAGCAGTGCTCTTGACTTCTTGAGAAAATGGGTGACCGGGACGGGTCAAGAAATTGAGTTGAAGAACTATGCTGAAATATGAATACAACACTGAACATCTATTTTTGAATGCATATTGCACACTCAGGAAACCTTAATGTAAGGTTGAAGCTGAACTGCAGGTTTATTAGCTACGTTAGACTGTGCCCACTGCCCACAGTTCCTTGCATAGGAAGACCAGTGAGTGATGTAGTTCTAAATCATTGAAGTCATTTAGAAACATTGTCTGGTACATTTTGCACAGCTATTTCAATTTCATATAATCCAGCAAAAGATATATTGAACGTCATATGGAAACCATGAATAATGAATGTGTACTGGAGCAGCCAATCTGCAAATATGGTAACTTTGACGAGATCTTGTTGGTGTGGGCTTATTCGGCTGGTGCGGATTTGGTATGGTGCTGAGCGGATTTGGCTAATGGCTTGGTGCAGTGCGGATTTAGTGTGGTGGGTAGGTTAAGGTGGTAGGTTTTAAGTTGTAGGTTTAATATTGTAGGTTGTAAGTAAGGTTAGGCCAGGTTTGGTTAGGTTTGGTTTGGTTTGATTAGCAAGCATCTCTGGGTAAAACGCCTCTCCTTCGTTGCAAAAACAAGTGTGACGCTGGGTTAATGACTACCACATATTTTCTAATGCATGATTTTATTAGATTTTACAATTTAAAACATGTCAAAAACTGTAAAGAGGCAAATGGTGTACATTACTCAGACCATCACTTTGTCAATATAGCCAATGCAGCATTGTTATGGGGCTAGTTGCATAATGCATATCTGATGGCCATGCTCAAGGCAGTATATACCGCCATGCTCAAACCAAAATTTAAAAACATTCGTAGCTGAATAAAAATTTCATCACTCATCAGCATTTCAATTTCATTGCAACTGTGCAATACAAACCAACCTCTGATGAACAGACACTATAAAGGAAAATAACGACAGAAAACCTGGTGATATTATAAGCAATCTAATAAATAAAGCTACAGTCGTCTGAATCCTCATTAGTCCGATCTAAAATCGCAGTTTTGCCCATTATCACTACTTATTTTTAGGCAAAATACGGCATATTTACGTCTGGACAACGAGTTGCGGGGAAAAGTGCTGACTTTGTCGCAGTTTTAGGAGCCGGTGATTAGGCTGGATTTTTGGGTTACTTTTTCGTTCCGATTCATGTATTTCATAGTGTTTGGCTTTTGAATATTTTAGTTCTTTCAGATAAATATTACTTGCTCTACAACTTTTGTAAAAACGTTTCATTTTTTTATAAGCCGACCGTCAGAGTCCTAAAAATACATCAGCACTACAATCATTGTAAACAAACAAATGGAGCACCGCTTGGCTCTGTTCCAAGGCCCTTTTCAAGTTTATCTGGTGGTTTCCGTACTATTGTACGTCGTTTTGTTGGATGTTTTGAATCCCTTAACATTGACGTATATCATATTTAAGAAGCATGTTGACTGAAAACAATCCCAAGTATCAAGGAGGCTGACAGAGGTCCTGACCCTGAGCAATAACAATATCAAGTTGAACTTGGAAGTTATGAAATTTTGGTTGATAAACGTAAGTTGATCGGGCTCACACATCAGCAAAAAAAGTAAAATTAAAACAGGTGAGCTCATCATTATTGGCTGAAAACAAGCTATAATTTTGCAGTAGATCTTGGATCAATACTGAAGAGCATGCTGAGCAGTATCATGCTAGAAAATGTTGACTGATGACTGATGAGTGCATATTATTGAATGATAACTTACAACAACAAGATAAGTTAGTGCTAACTATCAAGTGAAAAATCTAGAATGAATGGACTCGGGCAGCTTTACTATGATTAGATGCTATGCAGATGGTAATGTGCATCAGGTACTCAGTGTCTGGCAAATGAAACAGCGATCATTCCATTGCTACTGGAGGAGAAAGCTTGGATCACTAAATCCACTTTATGTTGATATTGATGTTAATCATTACTGTATTTCTTGGAAAAAGGAATGCAGTAAAATTGTCAATTTGACAATCCATGCAACGATGTTATCATATGTGTTCATTAGTCATTTGTGACAGTGATTGTTGGTCCAATATACAATGGCAAAGCTCTC